CCGCACGCGGTCCTCCCCCGGCCGCTTCATGCGCAGGAACCAGGCGCACCAGTTCAGGAGGATGACTCTGGTCTGCGGGAGGCAAGCGAGCGTTAGGGGCGTCCCCGCCGGCGACGGCACCGTGCCAGCCCCTCCGCCGGTGACCCCCGGTCCTCCTCCGTATCTGGGACCCGCTCACCTACCTCCCCTGAGGACTCCGCGCCCCCCCCGCACCTCGCGAACACACAGGGGCTCCCCAAGGATTGGAAAATTTCAAGGGCACCCCAGCGACATCTGTCAGGTGGCGCGTGAGCCCCTGGCTCACAGAGCTTGTGACGGTGACATCAGACCGCCACCCCGCGCTGATGTCCCAGCGTGAAGCGGGGTTCGAAGTGGACCCGACAAAGAGCAAGTGTGGGGAATGTCCACGACGTGGAACAGAAAACGAGGTGAGCGGGTCCCCCGGGACCAGAGAGGCTGGGCTCTGCCAACAGGTGCTCGCTCGTCAAAGGGTATTAGGTTGTCTGGACATATTTAATTAACAGAACTGTTAGGCGTTTCTATTGCCATGGGGACTCTGTAAAAACACAAACACAAATGGCAAAAAAACCCCAAGACACTCAAAGCTCTCTGGGCCGAGGAGGCTGAGGGACCGCTAACCCAACTTCCTAGGCTGCCATCACCCCAAGACTGATTTCGCTTCCATTTCGGTGCCCGACGGCAGGCAGATCCGGTGGCGACGTGACAGGTGCACGTCCCACCTGTAAGAACATTCTGGAGACAGGTGACGAGTGCAGGTGGAACAGCCCTCGGTCACCGCGGGTGGCACGCCGCATCCCGCCCGCACCCCCTGGCGGGACCTGTCTGCTGAGCCTCAGAGGCTTTCCTGACCGGTGGGAACGAGGGTGCCTGCTCAGGTGAATCCTCAGGTGAATAATTAGGCCTGCCTGGCCGGCCACACGAGGCTCGTGAGACACGCCGTGTCACGTGGGTGACGTCCGCATAATCTCCCCAGTTTACAGACAAAGCAGCTGAGGTTCCAAGAGGCTAAGGCGCTGGCTCGGGGCCTCCTGGGGGTCGAGTCGCTTAAGGCGTGTGGACCTTGCAGGCTCTGCTGGGCTCTCTCCCCAACGCCCGGGACTCTGGCCCGGCACCCAGCCTGGAAAGCACCGGGAAACCGGGACCAGAGCCGGACGGTGAGCGAGTCCGAATCCAGAGGCCGCACGGCCGCGGGGCCACGTCTCCAGCATCCGCGGTCCACACGCCAAGACGACTTCGAATTCCATCACCTGAGCCAAGAGCTCTCAAGGCTAACGCGTCTCGAAAGATGGCATGGTGCTCCTGGCACTCATCGAGCTGCGCCCACGACCGCTTCTGCTAGGTCGTGCTTTTGTTTCTGGCTGTGCAGATGTCGCACGATGCCACTGCACGCGGCGGTATCTCCTTCAGGGCAGCGGACCCCTAAAACGTCCCTTGGAGGTTATTACGCTTCGGGTAAACGTGGAGAGGCAGAAAAACACAGCCTGCCATGCAAGATGAGACCAAGATGGACAAGCTTCACACTTCGCGCGCAGCCCTGTGCTCCCGTGCTGACGACTGAATGACTGTCGCTCTTCATCAAGACTTTTCTGGAACAGTAAAGTGTTTCAATGGTCACGGGCCATTGAAAATGGCTTGACGTCATTACGTCTTATCTTTACATCAGTTCAGACGTAAGACGTGAGTATGTGTTTCTATTCTCACATCTGCATGAATGAGCCCTGGAAGGGAAAACATGGAATCGACCTAAACGGCCGCCGGTATTGGTGGTGGGGACAGGTTTCCCCGCGTGCAACTTGACTTCTGTGTTGGCTTTTGAAACGCGTGACGGTATCGCCTATTTCAAACGGACGGACAGACAGAAAGGGTGTCGGGGGGACGGGAAGCTGGACGAGAATGCGGATCGATGTGAGCAAACGTGTCCCGGCTTGTAAGGGGGCGGGGGGAGGGAGTGGGCTTCTCAAAAAGAGCCCAGGACTGTGGTGACAGCACTTGTAAGTGAGGTGGCGCCATTTCGGCGAGCTCGGCCTACTGCTGAAGCGATGAGCCACGCCAGAGGGTCGTTTTAAGGGTAAGAATTTGCCGTGCAGAAGGGGACATGTGATGTCGTAAAGCTGATTTTAAAAATCTTCCACATATAAGTGAAATATACGGCATTTGCGTGTCTCTGTCTGACTTACTCCACTCAGCATGATGTCCTCTAGGTCCACCGTGTCGTTGCAGACGGCGAGATGACATTCTTTTTCATGGCTGAGGAATGTTCCATGGCGTGTACGCACCATCATCCATGATGGATGCCCAGGCTGCCTGCACATCTCGGCCGTTGCAGGTAACGCTGGAAAGTCTTATTGCAGTTTGAAGCTTCACTAACTTTAAAAGTGTGCATGCTGCAAACTCACAAAATGTTTCAAATCATCCAAAAAGTGATCGCTAAGTTACCTCCTGGGTAATCGTAAATCACGGCATGGTGGGGATCTTCAGACGGCCGAGGCGTCTCTGATCCGGGAGGTGAACGGACTACACCTTGCATCCTGCGGCCACACCGAGCATGTCACTGAGACCCAGGCCCCCTTCTGAGCTTGGACGCAAGGTCGCGGGTCTCCAGGACAGGCCCACCCTGACACGAGAGGGCTTCTGTGGCTCCCAGCTGTCCCTAGGCTGCGTCTCTGGACATGAAGACCGGCAGGTTTGCAGGGCCTGGTAAGAAGCACGGTGAGCAGAAGGCCAGGTCCTGCTCTGCCCTCACCCAGTTTCCTGAGTGTCAGCGGGTGCGGGCGTGGGCTTGGGGCACGAGGCCGGGAGGAGCAGAGGCTGGGGCAGGCTGGCCACCAGCAGACGTCGCCCTGCTCAGCAGGCGAGGGGGAGGCTAAGGTGACAGCCTATTCCGTTACGTCGTCTGTTTATTTGTCTCCTAGATCTTTTAATCCCAGCCCCTGACCCCACGGGTAACCGCTAACCTTTGCTTCCTAGGCTTTGGGCCAGATCGCTTTCCCGCGAGCGAATGTGTGTGTGTCAACATCGCTCCATTTCTCACGCTTCACACTCCTGCTTTGCAGATGTGGCCATGCGGCTGTGACCTCGGCCGCACGGTCTCCACAGTAAGGTAAAGGACACCGAGCTAGCAGAACGCACAGAGCGGGTGGCGGGTGGTGGGCGAGCCCCGCCAGGGGTGCAGGGACCCCAGGAGCACGTGTCCCCGAGGCTGAGCTGCGTGGGGAGGCCGGGCCGGCTG